CGCCTATTTTGTACTAGTTGCGACGGTAGTGACGTCATGGCTGTCGCCGGCCAAACAAGTTGGTGTTTTTTCAATGTAGGCTTCAGACACGGGTCACAACGAGGCGTTCCCCATAGCGACCCCTAGAGGACGCAGTTCGAAGTTCCACGAAAGGGAAGCTATTTTTACCTGCATATATTTTTATACTTTTTACTGTTAATTTTTGAGTTGCGGCAAATTAATCATTGAATGAGCTGTAAAACAAAGTGCTTCCATGACGATTGCACAGTATTCATGACCCTTTGTGATGTTTCTGTTGACGCAGGTGGTTGTGAATGCTCTTCTGGGCGCCATCCCCTCCATCATGAACGTCCTGCTGGTCTGCCTCATCTTCTGGCTCATTTTTAGCATTGTGGGCGTCAACTACTTCGCCGGAAAGTTTTACGAATGTGTAAACCAAACCTCGGGAAAGCGCATGTCTATCGCAGATATCGGTAATAAAACGGATTGTCTCAACAGCCCCAATGACCTCGTCTGGAGAAATGTGAAGATTAACTTTGACAATGTAGGAAATGGATACCTGGCCCTGCTACAAGTGGTAAGGTTGCCCTAAGAATTTGATGTTCAATAAATATGAGAGAGATTTGTTTTTGATTTTGATTTAATTTTATTATAATTTTTTAAACCTTGAACATAGAAAATGTATAATGTTTCATCATAAGAAGAGATTTTTAACATCATTGGAAAATCTCTCTGTCTGTTTTTCTTTAGTAATCTCCATTAATATTAGTAGTAGTAGTATTTATTATTATTAATAATAAAATATTTATATTATTATTGACATTATGAATTTAAAATTAAATGTAAGACAGTACACTCTAAAAAAATTTTTGGGTTGTTTTGACCCAGCGGTTGGGTTAAACATTTAAGCCAACCGCTGGGTCAAAACAACCCAATTGCTGGGTTTGTCCCTATTTTACCCAGCACTGGGTTGTATTTAACCCAGCATTTTTTAGAGTGTACATCAGATCGTACCATGATATTTAAAGGGCTCACTTGAAATCGCATCACATGACCCCTTTAAATGCTTTTACAGTATAAATAAATTATGTCTAATATTTTAAAACAAAATATTATTTCCCATGCAAAATAATTTCCCAGTGCAATAATATTAATGGTGCTAATATCAAAAATTAAAATGTCAAGTTTTCTTCATTTTGTCAAGGCCACTTTTAAAGGGTGGATGCCCATTATGCATGCAGCGGTAGACTCTCGCAGTGTAAGTCTTTTTTGATTGTCATTTTACAGCTGCTTCAATAATATTTCATTCAAAATTATGATACACCATTCTTATAATCAAATCGTACTGGTGCATGCTGCCCTTCATCTCCATCTCTGCAGGTAAATGTTCAACCAAAGTATGAGGACTCTCTGTATATGTACCTCTATTTTGTCATCTTCATCATCCTTGGAGCTTTTTTCACATTAAATCTCTTCATTGGCGTCATCATTGACAACTTCAATCAGCAGAAGAAAAAGATAAGTATCTATATACTATAAGCTTGACAACAAAGCCATCTGCTTCTGATTTTGGATGTTTCTTTTTAATGCTAGTTTCCTGCAAAAAAAAGGCATTTGAAATGATTTTGACTCAGAAATATATATATATATACTTTATTTTTCCCCCTTTAAATATATCACAAATCACAGCAATAAATATATTGATTATTTTTGACCGCTGTTACAAAACCATTTTTACAATAAATTTTCTGGTTTGACCTTGAGATTAGATAGCTTCAATATTTGACCACTATTTATGATAATACTTGGTTACAGTGACACTAGTAGTTCTCATTTCTGTCAGGAGTGCAAAAACAATTGGGAGTTAATGATATTTTGATCAGAGTAACCTACATAGCTACATAGCAATACGAAGCAAATGTGATTGAATATGTATTAACCATTTTACCATAATTTCTGGTTCAAACGACAGGAACATAGGAACATGGCCAAATAAGGAAACACAGGAAGAACTACGGGGCCAAAACAGGTCCAAAAGTCTGACATTTCATATAAGGAAAACGTGTATTAATTTCATACTGTCACTATGAAATAGTGCGTGCTGAATGTCTCTAAATCGCTGCATGGATTCAGGTGCGTGAACCAGGATCAAAAAACCCAGGCGCTCTCTATTAAGCAGGAGGAGCGCTGACAGTTAAAGTCCATTTCTTATTTTATTGTTTTTTTGTATTGTCATGTTGCAGTATTTTATTTGCTAGTGTTTTAAAAATATATATATATTTTTGGTATTTTATATGCTTTGGTGGTGGTTGGTGGAGTAGAATCACCCGGGAGTATATATATATATTTTTTATCCCTACCGGGGATATAATTCAGCAGATACATTGACCAGAAGGGGATATATATATATTAGTGGTGTCAAAATTAGCACGTTAACGCAGGCGATTAATTTTTTCAGTTTAATGCGTTAAAAATATTTAACGCAGGGGCTAGGGTTGGCCACCCCACTCACAACTGCTGCTTCTGTCACTTTTTGTCTTGACAAGAAGTGCATTTATTCAGTCGCAGAACGACTGAGAACCGGAGTATGGCGTTCGGACGGGATCTTTAATATGACGCTGCAACATGCACTCGTCTCACTGAATGTCTCATTGACGTCTTCATTTTTATTTTATTTTTTGCTATTTAATCCATTCATTTTAAGACGCAGACGAGGCGTAGACGTGACGCAGACGACACGCAGACGTCACGTAAATCACGTGTGGCAGTGAAGTGTCGAGCCAGACGTCACGCGTGATTCACGTGTACCAGTGAAGTTTTTTTATTTAATTTTCGCTAACAGGTATCATAACACGCTGCTCACACGGCTCAGTGCAGTGTGTCAGCCAATGCACAATTATGGCGTTGGACGGGATCTTTAATATGACGCTGCAACATGCACTCGTCTCACTGAACGTCTCACTGACGTCTTAATTATATATTTTTTTTTTTTGCTAATTAATCCATTCATTTTAAGACGCAGATGAGGCGTAGACGTGAACATCACGCAGACGTCACGTAAATCACAACGTGTGTGTCTACACGTACAAAAGAAACGCGTTCAAAATTGCCGCGTTAACGCGGGCAGATTGTGCGTTGACACGGTCACATTTCACGCGTTCCGTTTAAAAACTTTTGGCCCCGTCTGCCTTCCATACAGTGAAGTGTCGAGCCAGACGTCACACGTGATTCACGTGTACCAGTGAAGTTTTTTTATTTAAATTTCGCTAGCACGTATCATAACACGCTGCTCACACGGCTCAGTTATAGCTTTAAGGATTCATCTATATTTAATTTAGAATTTAGTGTTTGATATCTTAAATTTCAATTTCTGTATATTTCTGCTGAAAGGCACAGGTAAATATGACATTTATTATAATGGGTTTATGTGAAGATTGTTTTAAGTTCACTTAAATTAGAAGTTATTTTTTAAAGTCTAATAAATGTTCAAATTGATAGCTCTCAATTATACTGTAATGTTGAAGGGCTATAGTTAATGGTTAAAAATTTAGAATTCAGTGTTTGATAACTTCAATTTCAATTGATGTATATTTCTGCTGAAGGGCACAGGTAAATATGACATGTATTATTATGGGTTTATGTGAAGATATTTTTAAAGTTCACTTAAATTAGAAGTTATTTTTTAAAGCTGAATAAATGTTAAAATTGATAGTTCTCAGTTATACTGTAATGTTTCTCAATTTTATAGAGAAATCAGTATTGGTATTATTGATACTGGCCTTCGGTCAGAAAAAAGATGCCATTAAACAAATATTTAAAAAATATACTGTCTTTATGTTGTTTGTACATTAATTTGAAGATCGAATGTGAAATGTTTGTAATGATTGTAAATAAAAGTATATTTAAAAACTTTAATGTTAATGGGATTAATCGCGATTAATTTCAGAAAAATGTGCGATTAATTAGTTATATATATATATATATATATATATATAATAAGTGTGTGTACTCAATTGATGCTCTACAAAGATGGCTTTACAAAGTACATATTTTGGATGATAAAATCGAGGCCGTTTTAGTCCCAAAATGATCTTTCTGTCTTTTCTGTCTTTACTTTGGGGGTCAGGATATTTTCATGACAGAAGAGCAGAAGAAATACTACAACGCTATGAAGAAGCTCGGCTCAAAGAAACCTCAAAAACCCATTCCAAGGCCAAAAGTAAGCATTTCTTTGAAAAACAGCTTACGTTCTTGTCATCATGTCATGCCAGAACTTTTCTTTTTTCGATGAAATGCAAAATGAGGCAGAATGTCTAAGCTGTTCTTTTTCCGTAAACCTAGTTTATGGTGATTTTTCTATATGTATAGGGCCCTATTTTAACGATCTAAGCGCATGGTCTAAAGTAGATGTGCACTGTGTAAACAATGAGTGACGTATACGCGCGAGAGATCACTTCCGGCGCTTGCGTAAACTACGCCAGAGCGCGTACACACCTCACGCACCGGATGCCGTGCGCGTGCCCAACGACAGTTGGACATAGCGGTGTATTAGAGGTAAAATATTATATAAATACTGTTCGATTTCTGGCACAAACCGATCGTTTCGTGTCTTAGGACCTTAGGACACATCAATGTGTCGTCACGAGCCGCATGGTTTCATTTGGATTTGTCTGTGCATGTTATTTTTACTCTTATAGATTTTGTTACCATTGCCATGCATTATACGACTGATAGACTGCAACGGTTGGAGTTAAAAATCATCAAATGTGTTCTACTGAAGAAATAAAGTCACCTACATCTTGGATGCCCTGGGGGTAAGCAGATAAACATTAAATTTTCATTTTTGGGTGAACTATCCCTTTAATGGGTGTTTTTTGGGCATAACGTGCAATAACCCAATCAGAGTCTCATCTCCCATCCACTTTAAAAGCCAGTTGCGCTCGCGCCATGGCGGGATGTAATTTTTCATGTTTAAAAATGTTTGTGTGCTGCTGCGCGTCCCTGTGTGTGTAATAAGCAAAGTGTACGCGTGTTGTGCACCCGCCTACAGGCGCATATTACTAACGCGCTCTTTAAATAACAAAGACAAAATATTGTGCCAGACTTTAGACCAGGTTTGAGTTGGTCTATGGCGCAGTCTATTTTCAGATCCTCAAAATAGCAACACGCCAACAATGCACCTGAACACCCCTCTTTTTTAGACCAGCACGCCCATGGGCGCACAAATGGCCGCAAATGCATTTGCTATTTAAACAATGTGGCACAGGATGGTAAAATGAGAACTGCGTCGGGCTGAAACTAGCAAAAAACACATGCGCCGCGCCTTGGCGCCGGGTGTGTAATAGAGCCCATAGACTGCTGTTAAGATTTCCTAGTATAAATCACCACAGCTTTTGTTATATGGAATAGAGAAGTGCAAACATTCTGCTTCACAGAAGGTATAAAACAAAAAGGGGTTGGAATGACTTGATGTTCATCTTTTCATGTATAAATTCTCATTTATTTCAGAACAAGATTCAAGGATTCATCTTTGACCTCGTAACCAACCAGGCCTTTGACATTTTCATTATGGTCCTTATCTGGCTCAATATGGTCACTATGATGGTGGAGACGGATGATCAATCTAAGGAAATGGGCAAAGTGCTGCAGTGGGCCAATGTTGGTTTCATTGTGCTCTTCACCAGCGAATGTGTGCTAAAGATGGCTGCGCTACGGCAGTACTTCTTCACCGTCAGCTGGAATGTATTCGACTTTATCGTGGTCATCCTGTCTATAGCTGGTAAGATCTGCTGTATGATGAGGAATTGATCCTTTACTAAGCAATTGTTTTATCACTCCCTCCATTTTTTCGCAGTTGCGTGATCAACTAATGCAATGCAAAATCAACAAAATATCTTCTTTTCTGCAAAGCAGCAAACATTTAACTGCAAAATAATCAGAAAAAGTGCAGTACTACTTAGTTATTGACACATTAGTGTGATAAAGAAGCGTGAATGAATGATAAAATAAAGTGAGGTGTGTGCTTGATGTAAAAAAGAATTATGCGCAATAACCGGAAACACCCATGATCACATGTTATCTGTTATGTTTTGTGAACATAAATAGTTGGAAGAAAATTCAGTGTGCGTCAGTATATTAGATCTATGCATTAGGGGCCAGATTTACTAACAGCTTGCGCCAGCGCAAACCGTCTTTTGGCGTTAAAATGGTACTGTAAGGATTTACTAAAGACGCGCAGTGAAGAATTAGCACTGAAAAGGTGTGGACAGTTATGTTTGCGCCTGACCTTACTGAATATGTATTTGTAGGAGTTTCCCTTTCAGACGCAAAATTTATGGGAGGCAAGTATTAAAATGAATCATGCAACGTGGTTTACTAATGTTTGCGCTCGTCAAATTACTGGTATTTGCGCCATTATTTAACGCTCAAAAAAGCATGTCTTAAACTTTTTTGCGGCTGTGTCGTAAGTATATCACCCGCACCTGATGAGCATCGTCTCTGCTTATTTCCACGCCCATCTGCGCTGTTTTGGAATTGTGTTCTTGTGCTAATTTGCCCTGTTTAGTAAATCTGGTCCTAGGTCTTAAAGTGACAGCAGCCTAATAAACCTGCTGCTGTCTATGCACTTACTCATATTCAATTTTGTTTAAAAGTTATGTTGTAGTTTGGTAAAACACAAAATAAACAAGCCTTCAGCATTTTTTTTTGGACATACGACTACTGTCAAATTAATTTATATAGCGCTTGTCACAGCACATTATTAAATCGTATTTTTAATGACAAAAATAACTTGAAAATATCTTGTTTAAAAGTGTGTCAGAATTGATAAGGACACAAAAATAAACAAGCCTATTTTTACATTTTTTTAAATTGTCACCTAATTATATTTTTTTAAATCAAAAATTTTCAGCAAAATTTTGGAAATTAACATCACAAAATCAGTAATTTTGCTTGCAAAAAATCACTATGTCCTCCTGAATATAGACAGTGCTGTTTCAACATTCGTTTACCTCTTGTCGTTGCAGGCATGTTCCTGGCACAAGTCATTAAGAAGTACTTTGTCTCGCCCACCTTGTTTCGCGTCATTCGCCTCGCCCGGATCGGCCGCGTGCTACGTCTTATCCGAGGCGCCAAGGGAATACGGACCCTTCTGTTTGCGTTGATGATGTCACTTCCTGCCCTTTTCAACATCGGACTTCTTCTCTTCCTTGTCATGTTCATCTACGCCATCTTCGGCATGTCCAACTTCGCCTACGTCAAAAAATCGGGCGGCATCGACGACATGTTCAACTTCGAGACGTTTGGCAACAGCATGTTGTGTTTGTTTCAGATCACCACCTCGGCAGGCTGGGACGGCCTTCTGGCACCCATGTTAAATACCAATGAATCCGAATGCAACCCGAATAAAACCTTCCCTGGCAGCCAGGTTAAAGGCGACTGCGGGAACCCGCCCATCGGGATTTTCTTCTTCGTCAGCTACATTATCATATGCTTCCTGATCGTGGTGAACATGTACATCGCCGTCATCCTGGAGAACTTCAGCGTGGCCACCGAGGAGAGCGCCGAGCCTTTGAGCGAAGATGACTTCAATAGGTTTTACGAGGTTTGGGAGAAGTTTGACCCGAAAGCCACGCAGTTCATGGATTACGACAAGTTGTCAGACTTCGCCAATTCTCTGGATCCGCCTCTGCGAATCCCCAAGCCCAACCGACTGCAGCTGATCTCCATGGATCTGCCGATGGTGAGCGGCGAACGCATCCACTGTCTGGATATCTTGTTCGAATTCACCAAACGGGTTCTCGGGGAAGGTGGCGAGATGGACATCCTTCACAGACAAATGGAAGACCGATTCATGGCCGCCAACCCCTCAAAGTCCTCTTATGAGCCCATCACCACAACCCTGCGCAGGAAGCATGAAGATATGTCTGCTGCGATCATCCAGAGAGCCTATAGGAACCACATAGTCCGACATAGTATGAAGAAGATCCGTAATGTGTACAGAAAGACCAGGCAGCAAAACGGGAAGGTCCCGAGTAAAGAATCTGTTGACAATGAAATGTGCGAGGATGACAGCGCTTTGGAAAACTCTGATGCAACGCCCGCCACGTCCTCTCCGCTGTCGTATGATAGCCTGACGCAGAACGCCACAAACAAATACAAGAAGGACAAACATGAGAAGGAAGTGGAAGACAAAGGAAACGGCGTTTAGAGTAGCATTACAAACAATTGTTTACAACTTTTACTTCAAGTTATTTGTCAGGGTCAGGTGACCTTGTCTGTTTGATGTGGATGTCTATGCCATTCTGCCTGAGCATACTTGAACTTTGTGCCTATTCTGGAGCTGTGATTGACATGAGTTAGGCAGTGAAGCTGCTACGCCTAACCTGTTTCACTCGCTGGCGAAAATGGCGATGTACCAAATGTTGTCGTTTTGTTTAAGTGTTGTGATCTGATGCGTTTTCTTTGTGTGTCGGAGATACATCCAGTGTGTTGCATTTAGAGTTGAAGTGTGTGATTCTTGTGCCACAAGTGGCACCAGACCTTAATGGCAAAATATACAAAAATAGAGTGTGTAATTAAAATCATATATAATATAGATTATATATTTAAGATCATAATTCAGCAAGAACGCTGTTAAATTGATCAAAAGAGACAGTGAAGAGATTTATAATGTATCATGTTTCAACAAAAATATGAAGCAGCACAACTGTTTTCTACATTAACAATAAGAAATTTTACTAAGAAATGGCGTCAAATCAGCATATTAGAATGATTTCTGAAGGATCATGTGACACTGAAGACTGGAGTAATGATGCTGAAAATTCAACTTTGCATCACGGGAATAAATTACATTTTAAAATGTATTCAAATAGAAACCGGTTATTTTAAATTGTAATAATATGTTCATGGTTTTACTATGGTTTTACTATTAATGGTATATATAAATCGTTGTGATATTTAAAATATCAGTTAATTTTACATTGCCAGCAAAATAAAAACAAATCTACAGTACATATTTAATATATCACCTAGCCCTATTTGCTAGAAAACAGTAGTCCCGTCTGCCGCGAAAAACAGGCAATTGGTTGTCAGTGGTTGAAAATTTGGCTAGTTAACTTTACTAGTTAATCCCTGATGGTAGATGCTGTAACTACACCATTATGGGAGCAAAATAATATAGCCCTAGTGAAGGATATGGGACTGTGTGTTCTTGTGATGTTATCATTGAGACGTCATGAGTTATTGCAATTGAACAGGAATGTTTGGTGCTTTTATAGGTGCAGAAATGACACACTTCCTCTTTAAATGTAATTTTTTCTCTTTGTTGAGAGAATTTTGCGTTTCTCTTGTTTGTTTTTGTTTTTAATTGAGCGTGATTTGTTGCGAGGTTGCGTTGTCCTATGTTACTTGAGACAGAGTTGATGGTTTTTCATTCTTTTATTGACTGTTGCAGACCACGTTTGCAGTCGGTTGTTGATACACGTGTAATTATAGTTGCATGACAGCTCACCTGTAGTCATACAAGTTTCCCACTCAGTATTTCAGAATGGCTCAGTGCCTCTCAGGTCTCTCTTCAACATGCTAGAAAGCCATTCGCACACGTGCCTTCCCTACTCGAGAGCTTGCAGCAAACTCTTTCCTTAAAACCTCAAGACTCCCGTCACATCCTGGACTGTGAAACCTGTCTGATTTCAGCCTTTTCTGTAGCTGCATCACTGATATTGCACTTGCATTATTCACCCAAAAATGTAAATTGTCTGAAAATTATGCTACACACCCTTATGCTATCCAAGATGTAGATGAATTTGTTTCTTCATCAGATTTGGAGAAATGTAGCATTCCATCACTTGCTCACCAATGGATGCCGTCAGAATGAGAGTCCAAACAGCTGATAAAAACATCACAATAATCCACAGCACTCCAGTCCATCTGTTAACATCTTGTGAAGAGAAAAAATGTTTGTAAGAAGCAAACCCATCATTAAAGCTTGTTAACTTCAAGCTGTTGCTCCAGCTAAAGTACGAGTCCTACTGGAGTCATGTGGATTATTGTGATGTTTTTATCAGCTGTTTGGATTCTCATTCTGACGGCACCCATTCACTGCAGAGGATCCATTGGTGAGCAAAGGATGCAATGCTACATTTCTCCAAATCTGTTCTGATGAAGAAACAAACTCATCTACATCTTGAATGACTTGAGGGAGAGTACATTTACAGCGAATTCTCATTTTTGGGTGAACTATTCCTTTAATAAAGCGTTTAGAGATCCGTTCACATCTTGACTTCTGCATCGTAGCGGGATTCATAAATGGTTGTGAATTCATTTTTGTATATGAACTCTGATTTGGTCAGGTAGCTGTCTTAAGCCAAAACTGCATCTTTCAGCATTCGAATCTTTGCATTTGAAAAGATTTCTCTCAAAAATGCTTCTTCATATGTGTAAATATTTTGTAGGAATATACAATCTGTTATATAATTTCTATAATGCATAAATTATGGATTATAATCTATATAGGGAATGTGAAAGGTTTAAAGTAAAAGGTTATATGCATCATAAAAGCTAAAATACAAAATTATGCTGAAGTTGTATGGGAAATATAATCCTTTTGATTATGTTGAAGCTAAAATGTTATTGTGAACTATGGGCGTTTTTATTTGTATTATGCATTCGGTTTTTATAAATAACACTGAGGAATATATAAATGCACCACTTTTGTTTGCTGCATATTACACCAATGATGATTCTAGTTCTATATATTTCTGTTATCAATGTTAGCCAACAGGTTGTTTGACATGTGTCTTTACGATGACTGAAGACTGATGGGATAGTGTGTATTTGTTTACATTTTTATAGTTATGAACGTTATCATTACATTTCGTTTCATGTCAGAGACTCATATGCTCCACATAAACACAGTCGTAAGTGTAACTGCTCCATGTGAATGTGACATGTATTGAGAAAATGAATTCTAGGTATATTATGAATTTATATGAGACAAATATCAAAACAGCATAAGACATAAATCACTAGCTTTTATATGCATCATGCTTGTAGTCTGTGAGTTAAACTGCATGCGAGACATTGCTATGGATCAGTTCTTTAAGCTAAAAGAATAAACTCATCACATACCTCACACCTGATACAACTCTGTGTATTCACTATTTTTTTTTAGTTTCATGAATTTTGGTTTTAACTGTTAAAGCACATATGCATATTATTGAAAATTGTTCCCCTCCAAAGGTTTGGAATAATTATGTTTTTTATCCTAAAGACTGGAGTAATGGCTGCACAGGAATCACAGGAATAGATTACATTTTAAAATATATTACAGTAGAAAAGAGTTGTTAAATTGTAATATTTCATATTATTACTGTATTTTTCATCAAAAAAATCAGAGACTTCTTTCAAAAACATTAAAAAAACATGTGAAATTCAAAAGTTATGATTGTGTTCAACCAGGTTTCCAAATCCTCATGCATTTCATAAAAACTAAAATGTATGGAAAACACTCGAAGCCTTTGGTTAAAAAAAAAAGGTAAAAAGGTAATTACGACTTTTTGTGTCTCAGTTCAGACTTTTTTTCCACAATTCTGAATCTCCCAAATCTGACATTTTTTTCTTAGAATTGCAAGTTTATATCTTCCAATTCTGACTTTATATCTCGAAATTGTGAAAAAAAAGTCAGAAGTGTGAGAGACAAAAAGTAAAAAATAAAAACGTATAAATTAAATTAAATTTGAAATGTATTTCCTTTTTTATTTTATCCCGTTGAGAAAACAATCTTCCATAGAAAACAGTAAAAAAAAAAAAAAAAAAAAAGTTTTTACATCAACATTTCCAATTGGCAACGGTAACCGTTTGCTCTAAGTGATGATTCCTCTAAATGTATTCACATTTTACAGCATCTATACGCCCTGATGTCTGTTCGTAAACACATAGTAATGTTTCTCCGGGAGAGAGAGATGTTTTATGGACAGAGCTCTGGGGCCGGTTGCATAAAACGACTAAAGAGTTAGTCATCTAATTTTTTCTCTTTAAGACTGGTCCTCATTTCTTAAAGTCAGTTATAAAAAGGGAGAATGGTCTCATTTGAATCCAAAAGGTAAGTCTGATTTCCTCTTGGCTAACAACTAGTTGGTCAAACTAGTTCTTAAGACTCAGTCTTAAAACAGTGGCTATGTTTATGCAGCTGGCCCCTGGTCTCAAGTGACCGTCCGCTCTAACTAGGAGCACATTAGAGCTCCTGTAACTTCAGTCCTGACCATTTCGACTCCACCACAATCATCCACTTCCGCAAAACACCACAGTTTCTCTGCTAATGAGCTTTTATGTGAAAATGCTTCATTTTGTTGTCCTCAGAGGTTTTGTGTGTGAGTGCACATGTGTCTGACCGCACATATCCTCATCTAATGTCTGTTTTGCAGAGTAGCAAATGCCATATATCGTGTATATTCTTTGTTTTATTGTTTTACATATCACAGAATTCTTATTATAATTTTTTTATTGGATCATATCAGATTAATAATCATAATTATTATTATTAATAATAACAACAACAACAATAATAATGATAATAATGATTATTAGTATTAATGATGATGATTATTATTGTTGTTGTTCTTATTATACTAAAATTATATATTTATTATTCATAGTTATAATAATTATGATTAATCTGACATGATCCAATAAAGAAAAAAAAGAATGATAATAATAACAACAATTAGCATTATTGTCAGAATACAAAAAAAACAGATATTGTTTGTATTATTATTATTATGTTATGACTACTACAGATGTCAATGTTTGGGACGTTTGGGTAAACAATAAAAATAATATATTTTTCTTTATCATCACATTATTATTATTATTATTATTATTATTACAAATGTCAATGTAGCTAAAATAGAATTATATATTTTTCTTTGTCATCACAATATATTATTATTATTATTATTATTATTATTATTATTATTATTATTA